GCAGACCAAGCCGCTCAGTAGCAATCGAACGGGATTGGCTTTTACTTTTAGAACCAATCAATCAAGGCAGAGTGTTGATGAGACGAACTCAACAGTTGTGTCTGCTGAACGCGCCCATCCTTCGACGAAAATATAACCTAACTTTCCGACTGTTTGTCATCAAGCTATGTTTTAACAAATGTGTTAGAGTGAGCGCGATATTATTAACGCAATGGCACACGATCGGGAGGTACTACGAGAAATATGGGACGGAAAGGTCCCAGTCTGTTTTACTCTCAACTCGGAGGAAATTTGCGATTTACAAGGGCCTGATCCATTTTACCTGATGGTACCTAGATTAAGTTATTTTCCACTATGTACGGAGAAGGTAAGAGACATAGATCAGAATTCTGTTATTCACATAAAACTCTACGAATGTATGCGCAAATAACTATTGAATAAATCATTTTGTCTGTAATATTGCTTGGATGTTGTTTTAGGTCCGGAAACATTTCATACGGCATACACAAAGCGACAGTAAACAAGAGCATGAGATGTGGCTGGAGTTTAATGGAATGCCGTTAAAGTGGCATTATCCGATTGGCGTTTTACTCGACATTTATTTCAACGACATTCAATTTCCTTGGAACATTGTCGTCCACTTTGATAAGTTTCCGGAGAACGTTCTAATGCACTGTCAAAATAAGTATGTAATAAGTTGTATGCAATTGTTTGTTTAATTGATAGCGCAGTTTATTTAATTGATACAGTTATAGGTGATGTAAATGCAACTGTACAATTTTAGGGAAGTCGTAGAGGCGCATTTCCTCTCTTGTATAAAAGAAGCTGACGTCTTGAAGCATCGAGGCCAAATTGTCTCCAGTATGCAGAAAAAGGACCACACGCAGCTATGGAACGGCATTATGAATGATAAATTCGATCAGTTTTGGTCCGTGAATGGTAGACTCATGGAAGCCAGTACTGAAGAGGGATTTAAATACATACCTTTCCGTTGTTATACGAGTGACGATAAATACATACAGAAACTTGTTAAACCAATGAACGAAGAAGGCCAAAGAAAAACTTTGAAGCATTTGTTAAACGAAGTATTCCCGGATCAAGAAAATGGTACTATTACACGAGTTTCTCTAACAAAGAATATGCCAAAAGTGTCTGAAACTGATTTGATTTTCCTTGAAATATGTTGTAAAAGCGACAGAAATCTAAGAGATACGTATTTTTTTATACGTAGCATACATATTTTGAAATTTAAAGGATGAAACTAAATGTGCCTATCGCACAATACAAAAGGAACAGGGAATAAGACAGGCAACGGAAATTACCACATTTCAACTTACCAGAAACTGTATTAACGCAATGGAATATGACAGGCAATAGGCAATAGAAACAGAATTTCCGACGTATTGGATTTCTGTTCTCTATTACCCATATCTGATTAATTACAGTTTTTCAGTTTTATTATAAGTTGAAATGATATTATTTCTATTGCCTGTACCTTTGTACTGTGTAATAGGCTTAACGCTCATCGATTTTGGACAGTTGTAACATGTCTCTTGGAAATATCATGTATATGAAAGGTACAGGGGAAAAACGATTAAAGTCTTCTGTCGAAATTGATCTGATCATGCTATCTCGTGGCATTTTCAAAGAATTTTCATAAGTCTTGTCTGTTTTGATCAAGAACAGTTAAGGTAAATGGTCATATGTCTGGACATTTTAATCAAAGAATCTCAAAGATAAAAATATTTTTCTTGTACTATATTTTTATCTTTGATTTTAATTCGCGTTATACTTATTAAAAACTAAAATGATAAAGGTGTCCAGATAGGTCTTAAATGTCCCGGCATTGATACATTTACCTTATAATTCATTGGAAATAAGGCTAAAAGATGTATGTACCATGCTGGGGAAAAATCAGAGTTCAATATGGACATTGATTGTTTTTCCCCTGTACCCTTCATACACTTTTATTCATTTCATAAAATTGATACTTATTAAGCGATTTTACAGTTACAGTGTGCACCCATGGCATTGTACCGCCATTAGAGACGCCGCTTCAGTGGATGTCCGAACACTTAAGTTACCCGGATAACTTTCTACATTTAATTGTAGTCACATCATAATGCTTATTGAAGAACAGATTTCAGTATCAGTGATAAAATAATTTTTCTGTGATTACTATGTACATTTTTTTATGTTATTTTATGGTATATTTATTTTATAAAAGTCTCTTCCCATATAAATGCAGCTGTAATAAAATTAATAGCCTACCAAGAACTGTGATGCAAAGGGGAATCGACACCGTAATGTTAACGAAAACTAAGTTTATTGAACAAAAAAATTGTAACATTTTCTACTCGTTAAGTTATCGCGCATCTCTCGCCCGGCTTGCGATATTCTATTGACATTCGTGAAGATAAGGGAGCGTTCTGCGTAATTCCAGAATCCACAGGTTTGCGTACGATAACGGGGTGATTTCCGTTGTTACTGTATTCCATTGTCCTGCGACTGTTTCCAAAACTAAGGTAGCTGGCGATTTTTTTCTTCCTACCTTGTTCCTCCTGCAATTAAAAAAAATTTTTGATCAGAAATTTGTTTCGTTCAAGTTACGTTTATTCAACACTTACGGTCATTTATTTATTTTTCTCACCTTAAATATGGTCATAGCGGTATCTTGGTATCTCCTATGAATCTCTTCCTTGCTCAGGACAATGGTCACTTCTGGAGATACATAACACGCAGTCATTTATATATCCCATGTAATTTTGCACATTTAACGTGTACTTTCTCCCCCAGGACGTTTACATCGCCTCTCTTGCATCTGTAATTACAAATCCGGTTAGCAAGCGGCTCTTTGAATCCGACATTCGTTTACTAAGATATTTTTAACTACGAATATAATTTTAATGAAGGAAAAAAATGTGTAAGTCGGCAGAGATAAATCCAGGGTTTAATATCACGGTGATATAAGAGCGATAGCGATGAAGACAAAACACGAGGAAGAAACTGATGAGGAAAGGAAGATAGAGAGCTCTCGCAGTGATAAAAATATGCATGAGTTAGCGTTAGCTGCTTTCGCAAACGGTGATTTTCTCGCCGCTTTGCGGGAATTACGACGAACGTCGCTCCGCGAGAGACTTCCTTTCCTTTTTCTCCCTTGCCGCGCGACATCGGGAACACGTGTACCGCGAAGACAGGCTTTTTGGAGTGCGCTTTATAATTAGCCACCATTGCGAAAATGAGCATCTCCTCCCGCTCCCGAGCGTTATGCGCCTCTGAAGGTCCCTCAGACCGAATTGCTACTCAAACGTGACGCTCGTTTTCATGTCACGTTGACGGTTGAAGATTATTTCTGTCTCTCTGCATCTCGATTTGTATATCTTCATCTCTCCGTATCGACCTGCGCGATTACGCCATATATCTCAACCCTCAATCGTCATAGTTCAGTTTAACGCGATGACGTCAATCTCGAGCTCAAAAAATCGATATCGCGCCTGTATCAACAAGTTGCAGTGCAATTGCAAGTTCCTTATTAGATATGCTTAATTTACTTTTGTAAAGAAATACCTCTTTGCACGACGTGACGGAAAATGACCCTGATGAAAAAATGTCCTATTCTCTAGGAATTTCTCATATTTTAGATTTATGAAAAATTCTGAAAAAATGTATAAAATTTGTCAGATATTTCAAGAAATAATTAAATGAGGATTTTCGAAATTTTTCAGTGTCTGTAAGAAAATTTCTGACAAATTGCGTGAATTTTCTCGTATTTATTCAGACTTCAAAGATGTGTTGGCAGGAAAAATCTGTAATATCTCATTATTATATCTAAAAAACATTCTAATTTGTATAAAAAGTCGGAAAAATTCCGAGCACACTGAGAAAGTCTTAAAATTGTCAAAAATTCTGAGACATTTTTTCACCAGGGAATATAGTTACCGAGTCCAGAAATGTTCGAGATACATTATTTTGCTTGTCAATAAAGTCGAGAAGTACATCAATCGGAGCGGCGTTAAAGGAAGCTCTAATCCGTCGTTTAAGCTGATAATTTACAATCGAGAAGAGCTAGAGAACGAACACTTTATGTGGGACATAGAAACTTGTAGCCGTGGGGTAATCGCGATCGCTAAAAGATCCACGAGTAATAATAGTATTTGACAAATAGCGCGTTGTTTTACCGGGATCGCTTCACCGGCTACTCCGCGGGGACACGGCGATTTCTCATATTCTGACACACTTCCCTTTTGCCCGGTTCTCTACCTCGGCCACTCGCCTACAAAAGTCAACGGTCCGCACGAGAGGCACGAGGGAATAATCGCCGAAAACTTTTGTCCGCCCCGCTGCACTGTTTGCTGCCCATTCCGCAGCAAACAGAATCGGAGAGTCACGTCGGCTCGGACGACGGCTTTTGGAGCAACGCCAGAGCTCTTTTTCAGCGTGCTTTTATATTTCCGGTCCGAAGAACGAAACGGACCGGCGAGAGGTAGGTATTCCGGGAGCGCGCGGCTGAGTATCTAAATGCTACACGCCACGTTAATTGTATTCCCAGCTTCTCTCTTCGAGACACGTATAACAACAATAGGAAACTCGGGAGACTTAAAACCTTTAGATGCCGTGCGGCTTAAGTACGAGGAAAACAGTTAAGTCTTCTCGAGGGAAAGCAAGGAGATCGGCAACCGTTCGCGATTTGATCTTCATAATATCACACGCTCGGAATGTTGCATTCCATCGGAGTCATTTTTTTTTATCGTGCCACTACACCCTTCCTAATTGCGTTGCACCAGCCGGTGACATTTATTGGCGTTGATTGGCGCGTTGCAACAGTCATGCTTCGATTCAAGGTCCGCTCGGCGCGCACGCGGTGGCCGTAATAAAAACGGATAAATAAATGTTGCTATCGCGATTTAATCGCGAGACTTTGGACAGATTCTCCCAAGGAATGTTGACTTCTCTCTTTAAATGGAGTTTTACGCCGCTAATTAATATATATCAGAACACAATGTGCATTTCTTTATTACATATAATATTTAAATCCAAAGAAATTAAATTAAACGACTAATTTATAATGCGATATATTTATGTCACATATCTTAATTACGACTGTATTTTAATTATATTTAGTTAAGATTTGAATATACGTCCGTTACTATTTTATTAGGCTCCATATGGCTCATTAATTATGTTATTATGTTTATTTATGAGTTCGATTCTTTATGAGCCTCTTGACTTTAATGTATTTTAAATCAAAGAAATTAACTTAGTCCTAGAATGACGATATTTATGTCACATATCTTAACGGTTACGCTGTATTTTAATTATGTTAAATTAAGATTCGAATATGTGTGTTTTACTATTTTATTAGACTCCATGGCTTATTAACTATGTTTATTTATACAAGTTCGATTCTTTGTGAGCCTCTTGACTTCAATTTGCTTTAAATCAGAGAAATTAACTCACGATTAGTCCTGGAATGACGATGGCATTTATAAAAATTTCATGAAAAAAAATTGCGAGCTCTCTACTTTATTACGTGATGAAAACTCCGAGATATAATGTATGAGCTAAAATCAATTGTCCCGCTGACGTTAAAGTAGCGATCTGTGAAACTGGACTTCAGCTTCCGTTCTTTTCGCCGCCTGCACGCGGTAACGATTGGTTAACTCGCTCAGGTGCATTGGCACCAAGTCACTTATTTGCAACACAAAGCGAGAAATTATTGATTATTATATACGCTAACTTCGTACATAAGTTCTTTTTATTATACGTAAATACAAAAATATTTTTCATTAAAGCAATCATTAATCAATGTGCACGGATTCGTTATCGTATTACTAGCATAAAAACTATAATACCTTTACGAATGCAACTTAATAATTAGAAATGACGTTTCTTTAATGTTTCTTTACTTTCTTGCTGGATAATTAGAAAATAAATTCATTAACGTTTTATTACTTTCATGCTGGATAAGTGACATTTAAGATACCAGTTAATCATCATCACCTACTTGGCGGAGAGTCGGCGCGCGGGTATGGAAATGAGTGTGTCATTCAGTCTATATTTTCCTTTCCTTTTAACAGCGAGCGTTTTATTCCCTGTTACCGGACTCGCAACGATAAACATCGACAATAAATCATGCATTTGCATAGCCAGGAATTCACAGGAGTGCGGCGGCATGGCATTCTACAGTCGTTCGCTCGCGAGAGATTTTGAAGTTCCGCGTGACGAAACACAGCTATGATACAAGTTATATATACGCGTGCACATCATAAATCTCTCTCTCTCTCTCTAAAAAAAAAAAAAAAAATTAAAGACTGTTTGCAGAATCAAAGATCACGGAAATCTGTAAGGCGGATTTGCACACGACAGCGTGACTCCGAGAATCGAGAGAAGCAAAACGTGAGCGAGGAGCGTTCTCCAAAAGCCTCTCGTGCGTGCGCAACGTGCACGTGTGCGTGCGTGCGTGCGTGCGTGCGTGCGTACGTGCGTGTGCTATGCCGCCGCGTTACGCGAATTCGAGCGTGCCCGGAGAGCCTTAACGCGCGGAGGCCGCGAGAGCTGCCAATCCAGAGCCGGGCGCGATAACGGAAACAATGCAATCGGTGCATCGGCGCGCGGGGTATCGGTACGCGAGGACCGACATCAAGCCGATGCGTGCGTGAGTCTCCATGACTTGGCTCGCGCTTATCTCCATCGCGCCTCTAATCCGAGCGGCGGGACGAGCGAGAACCGGGGCTCCCGCCCCCTCCCTCTCCTCCCCCCCCCCACCCGTGATATCGAAGCGAGCGAGCGAGAGCGTTCCTCTTCGGGAACGCAGTCTGCAGCGAGCGAGTTGCGCTCCGCGCAGATCGTGCGCGAAATTACGTAAATCGCTAATTGCGAGAGGAGCGCACAGCTCCAGCTTGTCTCTTACTTAAGAACTGACTTCCCCCGCTTGTTTCTCTGCTACCGAGAGCAATTGCGATATCGCCAGAATTTTCTGAAATACGTGACATCCTTTTCGATGATTGAAAAACAAATCGATAATTAAAGATATAAAAATTATGATCTCTCTTTATCGCGCGCAATTAATGTGTGTGATTCTTGATCGGAAAGACGTCACACAAAAAAGATTGGAGAGACGTTTGCAAGAGACAAAATTAATTTAACTGAACAGATTCGCAGATGGCCTCGATACT